ACTTTCTATAATACTCTGATACTATATTATCAGCCAAAGCATGTTACTAATATTACAAAAATAATTTAGTTTTTCAACTTCTAAATTTCCAATAAAATTTTCCACCAGCGCCCCTACTAAATCCATCCTAGCTCATCAGAACTTTGCTTCATTCATCGGTTTATTTTCCAACTTATTCTCAAAGTGATACGGCCTGAGTCATGGCAATGTGTTGCTAGATAAATTTTCATTTAATTTAGTGCATTTGTTAATTAATTTGTTGTAATTTTTAGAATTCATAAAAAAAATATCAAAATGCAGTGTGTTCACTTAACAACCCATCATACAGAAAAATAATAAACGATAATTGATTAAAATTAAAGTGATTATTGATGTTACCCAATAGTGAAACTTAATCATTTGATTTTATTTATATAAAGTAATTGATAATGGATTGATTTGTACTTATGTTACGGTGATTGGCATTATAAATATTTTGTAACAGAACAGTTATAGAAGATTTGCTAAAGTTGCGTTTAAACAGACTCTTAATATTTTGCAAGCTTTGAAATAAAATTGATAACTATTATACATATTTTTGATATTGATTTATGTGCATGTGATTTTCGTATTACAATTTATAGTTTTACGATCAGTACATTAATATAAATTACAATGTTGTGCTAAAATTTAAATAAAATATTATTCTTGGACAACATTTTGAAAAATCAGTTTTTTAAAAAAAAAAATTGTGCGGAAATCATGGTTTTAAATATCTACCATGAAACCAATAATGCAATTTAATAATTAAGAGCATAATCATTTGCTTATGGTTTTGAAAATTCATTTTGAACTCATTTATTCTAAAATAATTTGACGTAGACTTTCTTCTTAGTCGCGTTTTAGATTTCTTATAATTGATAGCCACTAATAATTTTAATCTATTTTTATTTTTATTTTTCTTTATAATTGCGACGATTTTTGGCTATTATTATATTATGTTTCCTTACAAATATGCAAGCACATAATTTTCATATAAATATAAAATCTATTTGTGATATTTGAGATGATCAAATCGAATTTTATGAAATGTCTCATTCTTAAATTCCCCAAAAATTTACTCATTTTTATTATATTTTTACTTATTGTTAGAAACATGTTTTGAGTGAGGATCATTGTAAATATTTTTTGCGAAAATTCTAGCAAATTAGTCGATATTTCATTAAAATGCATTTAGTACGTTGTAACTGCTTCAATTTTTTTAGAATTCTATACACTTTCAAGATGCACTTTTGTAATGCCGGAATAAAGGACTTCTACTGTATTTAGTTATGTTTTTTTCATTTTTGTTAATCAATCGATAAAGGTTAAAGTTAATTTTGAAACCTCACAAGTCTTGGAAAATTCAGATAGGTCTTCAGTAAACCTAATAAGGGGAGTCGATTAATCACGTGAGGTTTTTTGGGAGAGGGAGAGGTATAGTAAGATATCACGTATATATTTTTTAACTGTTTTTTTTTTAAATATTCATTTTAAAAAAAAATCAAAAAATTAAAATTTCTAGTTTTATCACGTAACTAAAAATACGCGTGGAGTTTGGCGGAAGAGTGGGGCTAATTTTGAATATCACCATGTATTATCACTAAGGGTGATGGGGGGTCCAAAAATCCTTAAAAACTCGCTCAAGTGATTAATGGACGTCCCCCAAGTTAAATATAGTATGATTAAAATTATTACGATATCACTGAGCAATCAGTGCATCATCGACTTGAGTTGATTTCTTCAATCATAAAATGTAACCAATATTGAATTCAATTATCACTTGAAATTGCTTGTTTTATCTCTTATATAGAATTTTTCTACTTTCCCGGGACGTGATTTTAGCCATTTCTTCTGCGTTTAAGACAATCACATCCCCATCTGTGCAAATACAGAAGTTGTTAGACCAATATTATATCAGTTGCTAGTCGTGCATTCTAAAGTAAAGTTGTTGGTCTCACATATTATTCAAAAACAGTAATAGTGCTTCGAATTTGGAATAAATTTAGTGTTATAATCTGAAGACATTTATGACAAAATTAAATTTGCAAGATGTTGAAACATAAATTCAAATATTCGCTGGAGCACCACAGGTTAGATCATTTTTGTGGTCACTTTTTTTTATTTACTATCTTATGAATAACATTATAATTGCTATTTGAAATATTGTAAACGTTTATTTTTTGTGGATATAGCTTCTATGCACCTGTATATTTTTAATTTGTATTCGGTTTTAACTCATTATATTTGTTTTTCGTTTTGTTATTGTTTGCATAACAAGCAATCTAATATATTGGGAATAACATTTATTTCTATCAATTTATTTATTGAAGCTAAAGCTTCTGGCCACTTGCAATAATTTTATTCTGTTTTTCGTTCTATCTAACTACTTTCCGTTCTATCTACTTTTTGTTTTATAATATTTCTTCATATTTTGTAAAACTTTGATCTTATTGTTTTCCACATTTTTTTGGACATAGTTATACCTATTTTCATTGAGAAACATATTTTTCACCAGATACTAAATGATGTATTAAAAAGTTGCATTTTTGGTTTCAAATTCAGTCAAGTAAATTATAAAAGAATGAATTAAATTAAATCTAAGACAAAACAAACATTTGATTATGTCTGATTACCTCATATTCAATAGATGTTGGTAAATTTTACATCGAAGAATAAATATCCATTTTCATGCTCCAATTGTTAATTTTCTAAATATCATGTTGTTAGGTTTAAGTAACTGACTTGCGTATTTATGCATTTTGTCTATCTTCTATTTATCTCGAAGTATAATAATCTTGGTTAAATTTATTACAAAGTATAACATGTATACGTGAAAAATAATTTTAGTAATTTATTTATGTTGGAAAAATATAGACGTGCTCTCCGGAATTAAGTTTATTTCTGCTCGTTTACTATGTAATGTAGTAATAATGTAATTAATACATATAATTAATAGCTTACTTTATGTAATGAGTAAAAAAGAAAAGAAGCCAATGCATGTGCCATTATTAGACCGTTTATTTTTCCGCTTTTAGTAGCATATTTGAATACATTTTTCAAAATCTTTTTTACATATATGTTTTTAACACCAATTACAACTTAACGAGTTTTGTGAGCCTTATGCTGACTTTTTAAACATGTTTTTCTATAGATGGCAACCCAAACGGTTGTTTTATCTCTACATAATAAATTTATCACTATAACTGTAATACTGGTAAATTTTTTATCGCTGCAACAATTTCGGGTAAGGGCTATTTTTACTTAGAAACCTTTTGCTATCAACATTTATAAGTGAAAAATTTTACTGCTGCTTGACATCAGACAATCCGGTCGAGATACAACTTGAAAGCAAGTTGTAATATTATATAGGAAAAGTATTCCGGAATAATAACCGTCACTTTTACGTAATAATTTTATGCAAATGATTTGAAACCGATATTTTATAACCGATATTTGCTCTACTGTCAGTATACTAAGTCAGCTAACTTGTTATTACCAAATGTTTGGGAAAAGCATCTTCTACATGATGTAACAAATGAAGACGACAAAACCAATTAATTTTTAGTATGTCAGAAACCTATATTAAAATTCACTTTCATTTATTTTTATCATAGAAAACTTAGATCCGGAAACGAATAATTTTTTTGATAAGTTTTAATTTAATGCATTTACGAAAGAAGTTCCAAATCCCTTTTTTGAATGAATATCTGTCTAGTCGGTATTAAATTAAAGTGGAAAAATTTATCAATAAAACAATAAAATTTGTTGCGTACTGTTATCATTATCAATCATTAATTCGCTTGTACATAAAACGTTTTATTAATTTTTTGCTTCATCAATAAATATGCTTTTCCTTCGCCTTTGAAACAAATCATACTTGCCTTTCGAACCTTTTGGATTAATTTAATGTTATTCAACTTTAGTATCATAAAATTTAGCTCTCCATAGTCGTTTAGCCTGTTTATTAATAAATATTTGTTACTCTCAAGGGTCTTATTATTCTTGACATTTTATCCTAATTTTTAGACCCATTTCATTCCACTAACTATTATTATTTATTACTTTGTCGGTTGTTCCTTCTGCTTTTCCCGTTGCGGAACAAGTTCTAAATTGTCTTTTTTATTTATTTCATTACGAGTAAAGTGTTATAACAATTTCTCTACATTACTTGAGCAAATAATTACATAAATATTTGTACGCTTTACTACATTTGTCAAGTGTTGCGTGAAATGAGTTCAAAACAATTTAGTTGTCACACTATTTAGTAATTTTAAATTGAAGGTGGTATTTTAGTCTAGATCGATGAATCTTATGCCATTTCTGACAAGCCGTAAAAGGCAAACAATAAAAGTAAAAATAAGTCATGAAGTTATAGTCATAATACTAGAAAGTGGAAATGTGTAGAATCTCAAAAAATTGGCACCGGCCTATATCCATGATTTTAGCCGTCCAAATAATCTGAAGGAAAATATGTATTTATTATTATAAAATAATGTAGCTATTGTATGAACTACGGGCATGTTTTTTCATAATGAACCTACTGTCTGAAAAAAATGTCAGCTCTTTGATATTCTCAATTTATTTTTAAATATTAAAAAATCGGAATTTGTACGTTCTTCCTATGAAAGAAAGATCTATAAAAAAAACTCTGTAAAAAAAATTCAAGTAAATCGGTCGCAACCAGTAAAAGTTGGGAAATCGTGAGTATCGTATACAAGACAGTTTCCATAAGAAGGTATTTGAAGTTTCGTGGAAGAATGAATTAGTGAAGCATTATTATGGTCAAAAAGCTATATCTCCAACATATCTAACAAAATAAAACGTCTTTCCTCTAATTCTAGACTAGACTTTCTGGTTCCCTTTAAGGGTTGTTCTAGACCCTTTAAAGGTTGTTCATATTTCATATTGAAATCAATGTAAAGCAAATATACTTAGAACAACTTTCTGGACTGAATTTTATATAAATATCCTATTTTTAGATCATTGACATCCGTTCCTAAGGCAAGTCCAAGAGTTCTCAAGACATCTGAAAATTCACATAATGGCTTTAAAAATATACAATCTAGTCCAAGTCCAAGCAAGAGGAAAAAGCAGCCAGCTCCTCAACCTCCAGTAAGTCATTTTTAAGAATCACTTTCTTATATATACATACACTTTATAAATTAATAAAAAAAAAATTAACACTATAGAAATAATATTGGTTTAATGTTTCCTGGCGTAATTATTTATCTTGCCGTAAATTAATAATAAATAAAGTCATTAGTCTATTCTGTAAAGTAATAGAGCGCTACTTCTAATCCACTTACAATTTTTAGTTGTTGAATAAATGACTAATTTACGAAATTGACATCGTTTTCCCGTTATAATAAATGCCAATTTATATTTCTAATAAATATCAATTATATATTACACCAGTATATTTAAGTTTATTTATTCTACATTAGAAACTAAGTTCAATCTATACAATTATTTTTATCATTTCTTGTATATTTTCCAGGTTCAATCTTCTCCATCAAAACCTGCTGCAAGAAAAGCAAGGCCAGCGCCTTTACCACCTGTAGCAGTAGTAGTAAGTATTGAAACTTTAATCAAAATTTTGAAGAATGGGGTATTACATACAAAAATATGATCAGGAGTTTTGATCCTATAACTACTATCCGTAGTCACTCAATTGCAGTAAAAATATTATGAATACTATGAATTCTAGGGTTTATACAAAATCCGACATTTCAGAAAACCGGTTTTTGAATTTTAATTTTACCAGAAAACTGGTAGCAGTATTTGGCTGAATTTATTTATTGTTCAATTTTATGGATAGTAAACAAAATTATTTTAATTTTAATTAGTAGAACAAAAAATAATAGTTTATCTGGATCAAATAACTTTGAAAACAATTATTCGTTATGCATCATTGCTTATGATAGTGAAAGGAAAGTTTCCGAATAAATAAAAATACATTTTTAAACAAAAAACATTTATTAAAATAAAAAAAAAATTTAGATACATATTATTGCTTACTTGTTAATATCAACTTTAATTAATTTTAAAAATTCTAATCATTTTTTAAAATATGATTTAAAAAATCTGAGGACGTCTATTGTTTTGTTACTTAAACGTGTCCTTTGTTTGATTACAAAATTTCCCACAACAGAAAATACTCTCTTACTTGTGACCGAACTAGGCTTAATTGTTTTTAAAGCCTGAGATAAAAATTCTAAGTTTTTTGTTCTTTTATTTGTGGCTTCAAGGGCTAAAAGCTCTTTTTTTAGTTTGAGTAGAGAAAGTTACTTCTTCAAGAAGCCATACTTATTTAAATTAATATATACACTGGTATAAAAATCTAAATTTATACCTTAGGCAAAATATAACACAAAACCTTTCTAGAAACCATAGACTGATAAGGTTCCAAATGCTATTGAACCGATATGATTTCAAAAATAAAAACGCTCGCATCTATCTTTTATAATTGGCTATGCTTGTCATTTTCTATTTGTACAGTGAAAACCGACTTTCTACTAAAAAAACCGGTTTTCGAATTCCATAATTTTCATTAAAAACCGGTTTTGAATACCGACAAACCCTAATGAATACTATGATCTCAAAAAAATGTTACTATAACTTGAACTAAAATACTATAACACGACTTCTCTAAAATTTGAAAATTTTTCAGTAGATTCATATAATTTTTTTTCTGAACTTATTATTTACTAGTCAGGATGGAAAAACATATGATTACACTTAAATCACTTGTTATATGAATATAGTTAAATAACAACAAAAATAATTTGGATATCGAAGCTTTCAGTAAAGAAATTTTTAAAAATTTAACTTATAAATTAAGCCTTACATCAACAATTAAAAACTAATTATTTATATTACCAAATTGAATCTTAACTTATTAAATATTATATAAGATATGAATATTACTTTTGTGTATATTTTATCGTGATATTTTTTACGCAGGTTCAATCTCCCAATAATAAAGTCCTTACATCGACTCCTATGTTTGAGGAAGAAGCTGAATTAAAAAATAATTTTTCACTTGCAAAATGCGACATTTCCAATGTGAAAATTTCTTCAGCCAGTGAATGGGAGAAACTTAAAAGCGATAAGGAGGAAAATAATCGAACTAGGAAGAGCTGTGATGGTAATTTATTTCTATTTATTTATGAATAATCACAACGTAAAGAATTAAATTTTGAGTCAAGGATGAATCAAAGGACATTAAAATATTAGATTTTTTTTACTGTGCTCCGATTTGCATGAAATTTTGGAATTAGGTTCATCTTACCCTCAAGTTCAAAAGTGAAAACAATTTGGACACCGCCACCACCCCCCGAGGGATGACCCCTTTTTAGTTGTATGATTTTAGTTTTTCAAAATATCGTCGGATATCGATAGAACTAATTATAAGAAAAAAATGTCTTTCAGAAAAAAAAATACGAAAAAGTATTACTTTTAGTAATTATAATTATATATAATTATAAGTTACCGGTTACTAAAAATTCATATATTTTTGGCGTTTTTCTTCGCTTTTTTTGCAAATATCTCAAAAAACATGATTTTAACGAAAATCATGTAATGAACAAAATAATGTCGGTATAACGAAATATAATCGGTGTTTTATAAAATGTTTTAGGAGTAAAAATTATTTTTAAAAGCTAGATATTTTTAAATACAACAACTAAATGAATATTATTAAGTTTATATATTATTTATTAGTAATAAAAAAATATTGGAGTTCCTTAAAAAAATCCCATTGAACTTATTAAAAAATCCATTTAAATAAATTTTTGAATCTAATTGAAAATTTTAAAAATTTAATGAGAATTATTAAAAAAACCTATTAGAATTTTCTATTTATATATTTTACACTATTTATATAATTTTTATTGGAATATAGAAATATCTGTTAAAATTATTGAACAAAAACTTTCAAAATTATAAAAATATATTGAATTTTCTAAAAAAAAAATTCTATTGGACTTTTTTATTTTAATTTTAGAACTTTTTTAATCTGATTGGAATTTTAAAAAATTTCATTGGAATTATGAATCTTAACAGCATTTTTACTGATTATATATTTTGCAATATTTATAATTTTTATAGTTTTTATAATCTATATTATTATCTACAATATTTTTTAGTCATAATTTTAATCCTGTTTCCATGTACAATATGTTAAATACCAAATTGCTCGAACACTAAATATTTAACGATTACATTGTATGCTGTATGATGCAAGTATTTGCTGCCATATAAAAGTTATTCAAATATTTTAATAAATCTTACCCAAATTCATTCACAAGACTTTTGATCAATTAATGTTATGAACTAATTTTAAATTTAACAAGTTTAATTACAAATTTGATATGGAAACTTTAATACAGTTTCCATTATTACATAAATTAAGTTAATTAAATTTACTTAATATACTTGTAGTTTATATTAATTGTTAAGTATTTATTTTAAAAGCTGTCTATGATCTCTTAAATACTCTAATTACTTCATATATTATCTTTAGTTTATAACTTGTACATTTAAACATGAAATTATAATGTATCATTGCCATGGGCGTTAAGTGAATAATTAAATAGATAAATAAATATAACTTAATATATATTGCATATTATATGAACTTAATTGATGATATTTTCGAATAGGTCTGCCAAACAATAAGCATCTGAATAATGACAGAAATGCTGGAAAATGGAAGCGTAAAAAGGGTCCAGCTCCTCCCATGCCTGTCATACGCAGAAGTGTGACACCATTGCCTATCGCAGATATCAAACATGAATTGGAGGTAAACTTCATTATTAAATATCAAGACAAATATCGACTTGTGGACAATTCATTCAAACAATTGAATCTTTCAGATCATTGAGTTGCAACAACAGGGTCTGGAAAAGCAAGGAGTCAAATTGGAACAAATGATTCGTCTCAAATGCGAAGGGAGTGCCGATATTAGTGATAATTCAACAAGAAGCATAGAAACTGCAACTGCCAGTATGACAGATGATCAAGTAGATGATTTGGTGCTTCAGTTGTTTGAAATTGTAAATGAGAAAAATGAACTATTCAGGAGGCAAGCTCAGTTGATGTATATGTAAGTTGGAACATAATCACCCTTAAACTAGTTTTATTCATCCACCGGGGGGGCAATTTGTAATTTCATGGGGGCAATTTGAAAATGTTGGTGATTTTAATGTAATGTAGTATAGTATAGGTAAAACATATAACAAAAAAATGCTTCTTAGATTTAGAATAATAAGGTGTCCCGGTTTGGGTGCGACGGTTTTAGTTTTCAACCTTTAAATCTAACAACATTTTGAAAGAGAATATTGCGGGATGCAACAATCCTTTGGGTTTCAGTAGCCCTTCACTAATTATTTTAAACTCTATATTCCAATTTACGAAAATTACCAAAAAAGAGGTACATCAAATTTCTGACTGCTTGGCATAAATGCTTTGGTCAGTGACAAGACTCTATATATAGTTCTCCGTAAAATGAACTATCGATTTTTTGATCGGATCAAAAATCGAATTTTGGCAGTCCAAAAACGACCAAAATTTTGGGTAAAATTCGACTATTTTTTTAAAAACGCCGTCATTTTGTCAATTTTTGATTTTTTTCTTTATCGTCATTTTACAGACAATATTATCTAGTTTAACGAGAATTTTTTTTTAAATTTCATCTACGTAGAAAGCCTGAAAATTTTTCTCCACATCCACCAAATGTTCCTGACCACAAATCATCTGATTTAAAACACTTGAACGAAAATGCGCACTTACTTAGTTGCCAACGATAACTATCAATCTGATAACTAAAAAAGATTTAACAAAAAAATATATAAAATTAAGATATAATTCCGCTCTGAGTTAAGAAAATGTCAAGTAGATTCGTTAAGAAATGGCTTTATGAAGAAACTGAAACCAAATGCCCAAATGTAATCATATGTACAGAAATTTGTTATAATTTATTGAAAAAAAGAAAAAGTTTAGATTAAAACCTAATATAAAATCTTTGTTTTAGCTTGAGTTTTGCATTAAATAAATTTCGAAAAAAACAGTAATAGAAATTAGTTTGAAATTTCCTTATGTTGGCTTGTTCCAAAATTTTACTTATGATGTTTAATTTTCGATTTCATCTTAAAAGTTATCATTCACATATTTTCTGGGAGAAAAAAATTGTATGGGGGGGGCATAACGTTTTTATAAACCTCAATGTGGGGCGGGGCCTAAAACAGGTTGGGAATCACTGTATTTAACCAACCATTAGTGACATCCTACTGCCTAAATATGGTGTTACTAGGGGAAAAAAATTATAATCAATAAATTGCCAAATATTTTGTTTTTGCCAGAAGAAACAAATCGTGTTGATTAGTGTTAGGTAAAGATTTGCCGAATCTTGTCTTTAAATATGTTGAAATTCAATTTGCTATAGTTCGAAAAAATAACTTGGGGTACATTAGGGTGGTCCGGTGGTCCTTATTAGGGGTTCAAATGCTTGAAAATTGATTAAAAAAATCCTCTAAGTTTTAGCTCTTAATATTGCGCTTTTAGATAGTGCGCAATTCGAAGTTTTGTATGCAAATAGCATGGAAAAATTAAAAATGTTTAGATATAACTTAGCGAACAAATGATTGAGTTTTATTCCAAATTCGACGCTCTATAAAACAAATTATGAAAAAACCTGTTTTGCTGTAGAGCGTCTAATTTTCAATAAAAAATTACACAAATTACCACTTTCAATTCATTTTCACTAAGTTATACCTAAACAACATTTTTTAAATTATCAAAATTTTTTTATTCTATTTCCATATGAAGCATTGATTGAATTGCGCACTATCTAACAGTTAAAACGAGCTAAAACTTTAAGAATTTTTTTCATCAATTTGGAAGCATTTAAGCTTATGAAATTCAAAAATTCTCGTTTTAAGACCCACCCTATTGTGCATACTAGATTTCAATAAATCTTTTTTTTAGTAGTTATTATATACTCGAAAAAGAAAGTATTGTTTTGTCTAGAAACTTCGATTTGCTAATTTTATTCCTCGACGTTTCAAGTTTATCTGAATCATTTCAGAGCACAATTCGAAAATAATTGTATGTATGTATATATACAATTGATATAATTGTATAATAATTTGATGAAACTTCATAAGGATGCCAGTCCTAAATTATAATAAGTTTTTTGCCAAAAATCTGAACCAAATTTGAAATTTTTAAACTATTAAAAAGTTTAATTGGGAATCAAATTCTTAATTGAAATTCAACAATATAGGGCCACAAGTTGTTTTAAAAACTTCTTGTGGGGTAAGTTATAGTAATCGCAAAATAATCGAAAATGAAAATTTTTATATATCTTTACGTTTCAAAGGTTTCTGAATTATTTGGCATACCATAGAAAAAATGGTTGTATAATGGTTGTCTGTGCGGATACAAATATTCGTCGACGATTTCGGGTACACCGATCAACCGATTTGAATAATTCAGAAAACATTCGATTCGCATTGATAAGGGAAAGTTCCAGCAATTTGCCTTAAAGCACGATGCCATGCACCCCTTTAGGTTTAAAAATTCATTACATTACTTTTTCGGATGTTACATTAGGAATAATAACTATTGATATTTTTTTTCATGTTTGTTTTAGGAGACGCCAACAAAGATTGGAAGAAGAACATGCGGACCTCGAATACCAAATTCGTTGCTTAATGGCGCAACCTGAAACAAATAGGACAGATTCAGATAAACAACTTGAGGAACAGTTAATATCTCGATTACTTGAGGTATGGTTACATTCAACTAAAAATAGTATTGTTGAATACATCTACTTGAATATTAATAATAATATTATGGTGTAATGAAACGTGTTTTCACAATCCCCAAATCTAATAAATATTTGACAATATTTTATACTATCTATAGGTGGTTTCAATGCGTAATGAGGTAGTAGATTGCCTGGAAATGGATAGAGTACGAGCAGTTGAAGAAGATCACAGTATTAGCACTAGATTAGAATCATACACAGGTATGTACAAATATATTGAAACTAATTTGATTAATAATTGAATATGATGATATACTATATAATGGTATACTATATATTTTTGATTCCCATGCCAATGCTCATTTTGTCATTTTATGCAGCCCAACGAGAGCAACAAAGTGATGATCTGACTTCAAAAAGCTTAAATAATAGTCCTATAAAGTTATCAAAGAAGGAAAAGAAAAAAGAGAAAGAGAAGCGGAAATTAAAAAAATTGCACAATAAGAAGCAAGATGTTGATAAAGATATAGATGAAATGGAACTATCGGAATCATTACGAACTAGTAAGAATTCAAAAGACAGGAAAAAGTTAAAATGGTTTAGTTAATTTTGATTGGTTTTACATGTGCACAACATATTTAGATATAAGCATCAAAACAATTGGAATTATATTGAGTACCTAAAATGCAAAACGTTTAGTAAATCGTATTCTAAAATAGGTCTGCATTGAAGTATTACAAAGTAAATAATTGCTTATTGCTTATATTCTATTGATCTGATTAACATTAAATTTTAGATATGATATTTAGATAGCTTAAAAAGAAATATTTTTGTCCCCTCTAAAGTTTTGGTGCAGCATATCTTTATACATGAAACTTTCTGTGAAAGTAAATATTTTATAAATTGTTGACACTATTGACAAATATAAGCATGTTAAACTAGTTATTAAGTTGTGCGTAAGGATAGTACTTTAAATTTTTTAAACTCTTGGTATAAATTAATACATAGGAAAAGCTATTTTAATATCAATATTTTTTATGCTTGTATTAAAATGAATTGTTAATTTTGTCAGCCATAATGATTTTACAAATAAATGTTAGTGTCTTATACATCTAGTTTTAAATATTTTATTTTACTACAGCACTAATTTGATTTATATCAATTCAACTATGTGGTCGGATTTGATTTGCAGGTATTATGGTGTTACCATTTGATCATGTTGCTTTTTGGATCATATTGCTGAAATGGTCTACAGTCTTTAATCTTTTAACAAGATTAAATTCAGTGAAAAATGTGGATGTTCTGTCAGCAGGGCGCTGTCAGTTTTGGGATTGCATATTGCATGGTGTGTCAGTATGTTTGAGCGATTGAGAAGTGATCGTGTTCATAAAAAAGATTTAACAAATAAACTTTATTAAAAATCCCGGAAATACTTCACTAGAAACTTTATACCTAGACATTATTAGAATACCCCGTGGTCATATAGACGTTTCTATCGCCCGATTTTTACTAGACAAAATAACTTTACTAGAACATGTCGCCATGTGACCATAGTGACTTTTAATTATCGGACATGGATGTTTCAAACATGTTGCAATATAATTACAGATATAATAGTTACATAGATCAGTTAGATCTAATACAGTTTTTTTTCACCTAGTTTTCAATATTTTGAAGAACCTATTTGAATTAGTTAACGTTTTTAGCATTGTATTACTAACAGCATGTTAATTATAAACATTACTAAAAAATTAACATCACTGAAAGATATTAAGTAAATCTTGAACATGATTTAAAATAACAAATACTATGAATAAATTAAAAATCTTTTAATGAATAAAATATTAATAACCAAAATTATTGATCATGAATATAAACTTTTTATATTTTTCAATATATAGTTTTTTTTGACGAGGCTTGTCGCTAGTATAAACCACATGTGCCGAAATTTTGTTTTGGTAATTTGTTGCTAATTTTTGTAAATTTTGCAAACGGATGCTCATAATTAATAGTAAGAGACTCTTTAAGCCCACCATTGAATTTTTGCATCCAAAATTTTTTTCTTTCAGAACTATTTCAACTTTTATATTTCAAAAATTATAGGGACAATTTGAGACAAAAATTTCTTCTGGCGTAATGTGGAAATCCGATACTGTTCCGACCAAATTGGGTCGTATAAGAACCTGAAATTAAACTCTCCTAAATTTTCATGAGTTATATCTATTACTATAAACTCCACAGAATTCACTTTAAAGAAAGATTTTTTTAAAAGTGAACTTACTTGAATGTGTAGATATAAGAAATGAGGGTCCTATTGGAAAAGTAAATTCGAAATTATTTGTGTTTCTAGAAAATTATTACATACAATAAATTATAATTTATATAAATTAACTTATAATTAATAATAATTATTTGATTTGCAAAAATTTAGATTAACTTTGTAATGTTTCATAACTCTTTCAGTTTTATGTTTAATTTAAAAATACTAGATAAATAAAAGGTGTTTCAATATTTTCTTAAAAGAAAACTATAGAATAGGATACATATATAGATTGAAAATGATATAAAAATTAGAATGTAAATAAATAAAAATGTTGTAGGTGGCTAAAGGCTCAGAGTAAGCGAGGCCAAATAAAAAAATTTAAAAAAAAAAATATTTTCTTTAAATTATTTTCTTAAAATTACATCATCCATACGTGAAATTTTTATGATATAATTGCCTTTATACTATCAAGAACTGGAAAGAAATCTTTCGGTATAACTATATTAAAAATTACCTATGTTTTAATTCACTCTGTATAATTTATTTTATCCCTACTTAATAAATATAAACTTCATATATTACGTAAGTACTGAAGCAACTATTAACTAGTAGTGTATGGCATCGTACCTTAAGGTAAATTGCTGGAACTTCCCGTATCGTAATAAAATATTCGAGGAAAATTAAATGTTTTCAAATCGATTATTTTAAATACTGTAAATTATATATGTTCACAGAAAAGTAAATAAACAAAACTGAATCAATCAAATTTAAAATGAAGAACATCGTCTAAATATTTATAATATTATAAATTATATAAACTGAATTGTATAAACTGAATAGCAAAGTTAAGTGATTTTTAGAATATCAGCCAGAGTTAAAATTATTCGAATTATTTTCGGTATTCAAAAAATATATTTTTTGAAAATTAAAAAAAAAAGTAGCGTTAAAACAAGCAGAAGTTTGTTGAATCGTTCAACTAGTTACAATTTGTCTTTCTCATGGTAAGCCTTTTCAGCTTGCGCTTATCGATAAACGTTCTACTATAAAATTAACCACTACTAATCTATTTCTGTTAATTTTCATTTGTTTTTACGTTATAGCAACCAACATCAACATCTAACCCAACATCAACGTCTGAACCAACATCTCGATGTAAGGTAGCAGGCTTATTTCCAGACCCAAATGGAAATTGTGATGATTACATTGACTGTCCAGAAGTTGGTGCTAAACCAGTCAGCAGAACATGTCGTCATGGGGCTAAGTTCAATCCAATTACGAAACATTGCGTTAGGGGCAGGTGTTGATATACAGCAATAATATTATAGATTATTTCATATTTTATAAATTAAATACAATAACTTAAAAATAAAGTCCAAAAGATAGTTTATATATTATAGATAGAAAATAGAATAAATTATCAAATTTTAGAATTTCCTGTTATATAATATTATCTAGTAATAAATTAATCATAATATTAGCACACGTTTGATGAACAAGAACTTTGAACGGTATGTAAAATTTATTATTATTATTATTAAAAGTTTCATATATTTATTTATTAACATGTCATTAAGTAAATTTGTAGTTTTGATCGCAATTTATTACTGATAATTTACTCACAGTAATAAAATAAAATTTAATTAAATAAATATTTTGCTGCCATGATAAATAAATATTCAGGTAAACAGTTTACATTTATCTGAATCTTTTTAAATTCTCAATCTTTTAAAGACTAAAATTGTGGACTTTGCTCTTTTAAAGGGTTCGTTCTATCCGAGCCAATCTGACTTGTTTATCTATGAATCTGACGGTCAGAAACCATCCGCGCATGCGCAGAACACTTTTTTCTGTTCCATGTTCTGTTTCAAAAGTTCGGACCATAGACCTTATTGGCTATGTGCGAAGGCATGGAAGGGGAAGTCAAATCGACCGAAGCGTTCGTAGTGGCTAACTTGGAGCACTAAAAGGGGCTATTATAAACAAAATCTTAAACAAAAACACATAAAATATTTATTTATTTCAAATTTAAATAAGATAATTAAAAATGAACCACCATGTCTGTTGTGTAGTGGGTTGTAGAAATACCAGCAGAAAAAGTGACTGCAAATTCTATACATTTTCTACAGCTAAGTGGAAAGAAAATCAACGGGAAAAGTGGATCGCAGCGGTTAGAAGAATAAAGTAAGTATCATAACCTTATTGTTATAAAAATACAATTTGGAGTATTATGAATAGTTGTAAAATTGTTATGTTTAGAAAAAGAAAAATTATAAGTCAATAAATTGTTGTATTATCAAAATTTAATGCTTACTAAAAAAATGTTTTGTAAAACAATGTAATCAATACAAGCCTGAAATAATGAAAAATACATATTTATATATTGTATATTGATTATGTATAACTATTATCTATATATTAATTACATTTTATTATATAAAAAAAGAGTGCGCGTAAGGATCACACGCGATTGAAGTAAAACTTTTAATATTGTATGAGTAGGCAATTAAGATAAAAATAAAAAAAACATCATATTTGAATTTTAAAAATCATCTTTTAATAATCATATAACATCAATAATAATAAGATCTCCTGAGCATCGGCACAGCTGTCCTACTGATATTAAGAGTTTGAATATGATGTGAAGCTTTCTTCCTAATTTTGTTACCTATCTTACCGGGAAATTCAAACCATAAACGTAGAAGTTCATCATTATCGCCACGTTCTATGTACACTAATTTTCCCACACAACCATTAGCTAAGCCATCACTTACATCAATATTAGTTGTTATTATGTAAAATTTATTCAGAACTAAAATTATTCCATACGGCAAAGCCCCGGTATCAATAACCGATTTTTTTGAAACTGCTGACGAATGTATGATTGTTGATCTGTCGCATGGCAACCTACATAAATATCCGTGGCAGTAGATATTATTTTGTCTTCAACGAGATTCAATATAAATTTATTATATTCCATGGCACATTTATTCTCTAAGAAAAGTCTTATTCCATGAGGACATAATACAGCAACCTCTTCTTTTGTAAAAAAAAACGTGATTCAATTAATGCAAGTTTATATAGGGTTTAGCGCTCGACTTACGCATGACATGACGGGAGTGGATACTCGCGACATCAGCGCTTACGGCGTCGTAGTGTTCAACTACACGTTGGCATTTTCGTTGCATTTGTACGGATTTACACCCGTGTCGCGCCTAAAAATTTTTACACCCATATCGCGCCTAAAGAAGTTTTACTTCAATAATTGTAATTTTATGATTAAAAGAAAAATAAAAGTTATCACATAGCGAAAAAATGTTTATTTTGCAAACAGTTTAATTAATACAATGCTGAAATAATGCCAAATATATATTTGTAGTGTTGATGGATCACCGTGGGTTCCCAAGCCCTATGATCGCATTTGCAATGAATCGGTCGAGGTATTGAGTCCTACCTACTTGTCAACTTGGTCTTGTCTTTATAATAATGTCTAAATTATGTCTTTATAATAGTGTCTAAGTCTTTAGTTTGACCAAAAAAATGAGTAAATTAGTTTATCATTTACTTATTCTATTGATAAAATACTATTTATCATTATTATATTGTTTTTATTAAGAACTATTCCGAGATTATGACATAAGCTTTGAGGCACTTAACCTTAAAATTATTTACTGCATTTCTTTATTTAATTAATCATTATGCTTAACTATGTTTTAAGTACGTTGAAGTAAATTTAATAATTTCAATAAACATTCAGCGTTCACATTATTACTGTATCTTGTTTATTATTATTTATAACAATTATTTAATATCTTTTTTCTTTAACAAACATGTAAAACCCATGAAAACCACACACTGATACCCCCAATTAGTTCATATTTATTACGGCGCTGCATGGGCGCTGCAGTCACGCTCGGAGCGAATATACATGGACTGCTAGTCCCCATACATTTCTCAGGTAAAAAAGTGTCAAAAAATGTTCTATGGTATGAGGGCATATGAGGGTAATTTCGCGGCCGAGATATGTCAAAAATACGAACACGTCAATTGCACTCGATCGCTTAAACGTCAAATGAAAGTCCGTGTGTTCGAAATTGTTGGGAAATTATTATATAATATACAATTTATGTTGAACTAATGAATGTACTGAACTATTTATTTATTTTAGTTATACAAAGTTTTAAGGGAAATTAGAAAAAAAATTAAAAAAATATTTTACATATATAAAATTAACTGAAAATAAGAACAGTTGGCTTGAGCTATTATGAGAAATTAGAAAACAATAATGAAATATTTGTTTAAATTATTGGTGTTTAAAAAACACAATTTTCGTGTGAAAGTGGCGTACATATTTATCAACTTTGCTTTTTTATGTTCTTCATGGTGCATTCTATTTGTTAAGTACATTTTACCACAGACCAAACACATTTTAGAAGACATTTTACTTCTTATTAGATTTTGTCTGGTACTAACAATTTTAAAACGCGTATTTTTATCCTCTTTTAGGTAAAAAAAACACGAGCGATCAAACACCTCGTGAACCCAAGCAACTGTAAAATTTAAGCAATCGAGAGTATTCGAGTAATCTCGGTAAAGCTCGTGTTTGTATTTGACATATCTCGGCCGCGAAATTACCTTCATATGCCCTCATACCATAGAACATCTTTTGACACTATTTATGCGCTCAATAAGCAGTCCATTCCATGTATTGTATAAAATCTATGGTTGTATATCCTGATGACAGGTGACAGGAGACCGGATGACACTTCAAGAAAGCGCATGGCGCAAGGTTTCTTGGTCGGAGAGCGAAATTGCGCAATCCATTTTAATCTCAGCCATCGCGGAACGAATATCTTGGAAAACCAGTAGACACTCCAGTAATAGGAAGCCAGTGGACACTCAAGTAGTACGTAAGTACATTTGCCACATTTTAGTCGTTTTATTTTGCCATTGTACCCTGTGAAAGTAAAAGGTTGTATGGCCGAGTATTTTAATATTTAGTATTTTGCATTAGTGATTGTATGTAATCGGTTTGAGAATTATTTGTAGATTCGAAGCTTATGCGGGTGTTTTCATGATCTTTCCCAAAGGTGCTACAAATACCCATCACTACATAATGACAGATTTTGATTGAGGTTAGTAACAATTTGAGAAGATAAATGGCGCGTCAAATCTCATGCGATCATAGATGCGAATATCGAGTGTTTTCATGCAGTTTGAGAAATTATTGAGAAAAGGACCATTGATATTGTTTTGATGCAGATGGTTGTCTTTCAATTTCATTGGGGAGTTGTTTTAATGGCCTATATCGCATCAATTGGAAATCTTATCTGAATCTTATTATTCTTGACAGCTGCTACGATTTAAAGTTTCCTAGGCAAAATGCATTGAAGCTAAGTCATGTGAACACTGAATTATTTCAGTTATTTCTCATAACAAGAATTACTGTAATGATTAGTCAAAGATATGTGCAATATTCAATTTCAGATGAAGACATACAAAAAGTAATCCAAACTTAGTATTACCTTTTATATTTCAGCTCTGCTATAAAATAGATGTCGACAATAATCAAGTAATTGAATTATAAAAAATAAGTCAACTCTGGAATGAGAATCCTGTATTATCTTACTAGCTTGCTTGCTGCAGTAGACTTTTGCTTCATTAACTATCGGTAAGATAACAAAACAAGCAATTCTTATTTTGTAAGATACAAGTCCAATTATTTAGGTTTTGAGAAACCTAGAGTATGATTATGCTTTTTAATACACACTTATAAAATACTACAAGGACAAGATCAATACATAGTCTTTCCAGAAACATACTCCAAGCTTCAACTGTTAACTGCTAATGCTTACAGTTCAAATAAAACATGTAAAACTAATCACAAAATTATCAACTCATATCATATCTTAAAATAATTAAATATTCAAAATATTTGTACAATATTTATTATATAGGCTCTGTATTGATACTTTTTTCTTGATACAGTTTGCTGATGAACCACAATTAAGGATGGCAACCCATAAGAGACGATATCTGCTAAGGGATCAAAAAGACTTTTCTGGAAACTGAATTTATTAAGAGACTTTAAGGTATGCATTTTATTTAATCATTTGATTAATTATTCATCTTAATATTTTGATATCGTCATTAAGAACTTATTCATATTTTTTTCATTTTATTTAATTTTTATTTTTATATATTTAACTTTCCATTATTACAATAATGTGTAATAAATCCACTTGGAATACTAATAAATCGCTCATCAATTAAGTCAATTATTTACACTATATCGCAAAGATCATGTATTGTGTCTTAAAATACCGCTTACAAATAGTTCAATTTTTTCATTATTCACTTACTCATTCACGAGTTTTAATTATTTATTTATTTATGCATACAATTGATATTTTTTACTAGTTGTTTATTTTTTATTTTTTTTACTTACCCATTTAATAATTTAGGAACTTTCTGTAGTTTCTCTACGATTATTGTAATCGTCCAAAAATCGAAAATGAAAATTTTTACATATCACGTTTCAAAAGTTTCTGAAAGTTTTAGCAAACCTTAGAAAAAATTGTGTATGTGTTTTGTTTGTGGATACAATTTTTCTTCTTAAATGAAAAAATTTGTACTTTTTGAGAGACCGAAGCTTTGGATTTTAATTTTGATTTCTAAAATACGAATAATGAAAGTGTCATTATTTAAAATAATCTATTTGAAAATGTTTAATATTACTTGGATATTTTATTACGTTATGGAAAGTTCTAGCAATTTGCCTTAAGGCACGTTATGGACCACTAGCTTGTTTCTAAAATTGATTCATACATTTATCTATTCTTCATTTCAATTATTTTGTTTATTTATATACTTTCCATATCAATTATTCACTTATTTTTTATTATTTAGTTTATTCTTTTCAATTTTGCGATTTTTTCTATAAATTATTTATTTTTTTATTCATTTATCTATTGTTTATTTTTACTTTTATATATTTTTAATTTTAATTAAAAATTAAATAATGTAATTTAAATTAATTTTAATTTTATTGATAATTGTCTAATCGGACCGATTCGAAATTTTTTGCGCACGATGTCATTTTTGAGCCGTGTCAAGTGGCTCCGCCGGCGACTTGATTGGTCCACGCGGTTGTCAACTCGTTCATTTGTGTGATGGACAGCAATGCAAGAGGACCTCCAGGACCAAGGGAGAGGACCCAGGGAAGTACCCAATAATATTAAGTGTGTTATGAAAACGAGCAAAATTAAACAAATCATTGTTGGGTTCTCATTCATTCATTCGCATTTGATTCCATTGTATTTTAATTTTGTGCAATTTCTTTTAATAATTTGTGACATTGACAGTAGATTGTGAACGGCATACGTAGTTTGGCGCGATCGTATCTATTTGACAAATACAACCTCTTGCTATATAATCAATTTTCTAAGTACTGCTTTGCTAGCATATTATGTAATGTCATGATTCAGATAATTATTTGCATGCTAATATAGTAGTTTGGGGTAGTAGAAAGTTATGTAGGTAGCATTCGTAGTTCTAGTTTTGACTGACACACTAACACAATAATCCACTATTAAACAAGAATGTAATAATCTGAATCATTCGACATTATGTATTACTTAATTATACTAGCTGTAAGTGGAATTCTGTCTTAAGGCAATTAAGGCATCGTGCCTTAAGGCAAATTGCTGGAACTTCCCGTACCAAAATTTTTTTTTTAAAAACGATTAAGATTTTTGAAAAAAATTTACTTTGAAAAAATAAGATTTTTGAGAAACTATATATTGGACAAAAAATTACTTTTTTTTGAAAAAAAAAAATTTTTTTTTTTTTTTTTTTAAAAAAAAATGTTTTATTTTATTTTGACATATTTTGGAAGATCTAAACTTTTTTTCAGAGCAATCGTACTGCTTTAACTGCATAAAGACGAAATATCAAAGCCCGTAAGCGCCGCGTCGCCGTCTAACGCGTAAACATTGGTACGGAACCCATAGAAATGTAAAAAAAATTTATACTTATTGTTAAAATCTCTATAAAATATTTGATAATTTGATGTGCATATGTCTAATGATCATTTTTGACCGCCAAATGGCATTTTTTTTTACTTTTTTCATCAGATCTCCGAAACCGTTAGACCTGCCTTCATGAAAATTTGATCAATTCTTTATCTTGTCAATACAAGTAAAATGTTTTTTAAAATATTCAAATCGGACGCTCCGTTCTCTTAAAAACTGAGTTACCGTTTTCGGCACTTTTTGCCCCGTATCTTTGGAACGGCTAGACCTGCTTTCGCCAAAAACTAATCAGCACGTCTCCTTATTAATACGAATCGAATGTTTTTTGAATTATTCAAATCGGTTGATCCGTGTTCCCGAAATCGTCGACGAAAATTTGTATCCGCACATACATACACACACGCACATACATACATACATACATACATACATACATACATACACACACACACACACACACACACACACACACACACACACACACACATACATCCATTTTTTCTAAGGTATGCCAAAATGTTCAGAAACCTCTGAAACGTAAAGATATATAAACATTTTCATTTTCGATTTTTTTGCGATTACTATAACTTGCCCTACGGGAAGTTAATAATTATTAAACTATTGTCAATTATAAACAACTGCTGCCGTTTGCAATCCATATAGCATTGCGCCAATTTATTATTATTCTGATATGCATAAGTTGTTATATTGATGCATTAATTTTTTTTTCATCACTTTTAGGGCGTTCTTGAAGGCCATAATACAAAAATCAATTAAGGACAAAGTGTGAGCAATAAATATTATCAATCCATGAAATAGTTTGAATCTGGGATTTATATATTTAATTTTCACCTGCAGATAACTTCAGCTACTTCAACAGTATGTGTTAGTTATCAAATATTTTAAAAGATGTATTCCATTCTGTTTTTTTCTTTCCAGATTAAATTCTCCACTACTGAATCAACTGCCCTATTCGACCCAACCGACTCCAGTCAATCAAACAGTGAGAACTTATCAAGTATCTATCAGGCAGTCTGTATCCTTTATCAAACATTTTAAAAGACATGTTCTAATCTTTTGTTTTTTTTTATTTCAGATTCAATTATCCACTTCTGAATCAACAGCCCTCATCGCTTACAATCCATCAAACAGTAAGAACTTATCAAGTATCTATCAGGCAGTCTGTATCATTTATCAAACATTTTTTAATAATATATAATAATCTTTTGTTTTTTTTATTTCAGATTCAATTATCCACTTCTGAATCAACAGCCCTCATCGTCTTTAATCCATCAAACAGTAAGAACATATCAAATATCTATCAGGCAGTCTGTATCCTTTATCAAATGTTTCAAAAGACATGTTCTAATCTTTTGGTTTTTTTTTTATTTCAGATTCAATTATCCACTTCTGAATCAACAGCCCTCATTGCCTTTAATCCATCAAACAGTAAGAACTTGTCAAGTATCTATCAGGCAGTCTGTATCCTTTAGCAAACATTTTAAAAGACGTGTTCTAATCTTTTGTTTTTTTTTATTTCAGATTCAATTATCCACTTCTGAATCAACAGCCCTCATCGCCTTTAATCCATCAAACAGTAAGAACATATCAAATATCTATCAGGCAGTCTGTATCCTTTAGCAAACATTTTAAAAGACGTGTTCTAATCTTTTGTTTTTTATTTCAGATTCAATTATCCACTTCTGAATCAACAGCCCTCATCGCTTTTAATCCATCAAACAGTAAGAACTTGTCAAGTATCTATCAGGCAGTCTGTATCCTTTATCAAACATTTTAAGACGTGTTCTAATCTTTAGTTTTCTTTATTTCAGATTCAATTATCCACTTCTGAATCAACAGCCCTCATCGCCTTTAATCCATCAAACAGTAAGAACATATCAAATATCAATCAGGCAGTCTGTATCCTTTATCAAATGTTTCAAAAGACATGTTCTAATCTTTTGGTTTTTTTTTATTTCAGATTCAGTTATCCACTTCTGAATCAACAGCCCTCATCGCCTTTAATCCATCAAACAGTAAGAACTTGTCAAGTATCTATCAGGCAGTCTGTATCCTTTAGCAAACATTTTAAAAGACGTGTTCTAATCTTTTGCTTTTTTATTTCAGATTCAATTATCCACTTCTGAATCAACAGCCCTCATCGTCTTTAATCCATCAAACAGTAAGAACATATCAAATATCTATCAGGCAGTCTGTATCCTTTATCAAATGTTTCAAAAGACATGTTCTAATCTTTTGGTTTTTTTTTATTTCAGATTCAATTATCCACTTCTGAATCAACAGCCCTCATTGCCTTTAATCCATCAAACAGTAAGAACTTGTCAAGTATCTATCAGGCAGTCTGTATCCTTTAGCAAACATTTTAAAAGACGTGTTCTAATCTTTTGTTTTTTTTTATTTCAGATTCAATTATCCACTTCTGAATCAACAGCCCTCATCGCCTTTAATCCATCAAACAGTAAGAACATATCAAATATCTATCAGGCAGTCTGTATCCTTTAGCAAACATTTTAAAAGACGTGTTCTAATCTTTTGTTTTTTATTTCAGATTCAATTATCCACTTCTGAATCAACAGCCCTCATCGCTTTTAATCCATCAAACAGTAAGAACTTGTCAAGTATCTATCAGGCAGTCTGTATCCTTTATCAAACATTTTAAGACGTGTTCTAATCTTTAGTTTTCTTTATTTCAGATTCAATTATCCACTTCTGAATCAACAGCCCTCATCGCCTTTAATCCATCAAACAGTAAGAACTTGTCAAGTATCTATCAGGCAGTCTGTATCCTTCATCAAACATTTTCAAAGACATGTTCTAATCTTTTTTTTTCAGATTCAATTATCCACTTCTGAATCAATCGACTCTAATCAGACTGTAAGCGCTCATGAACGATCAGTCGACAATCAACTGCTTGGGTTTTGGAACACTAATTCTTATAAATTTGCACAAGTGGTTCTTTTTGTAATTGTGTTTAGTCTTATGCATGTTCTTACCAGTAGTCTTACTAACTCATTAACAATACTAA